TATATATATATATATATATATATATATATATGACTTGATCCATCAGTGATCTGGCTTCTCATCACTTCAACATCAGCTCAGCTTCACTACATGTTGAGACACACCTGATCCATCAAAGTCTCTGGGAACAAAAGATTTCCTCTTCTCCTCTAGAAACTGGCTGGGTATCAGTCCCGTGGCACCTCCCACTACATGGCGTGCCTGGAAGAGACGACACACACCTTGATATTTGGTAGCTTAACGACCTGTAGTGAAAACGACAGGAAGAGGAAAGCTCACCTGCCACCAGTTGGGATCCTCTCGGTTGACGATCTGAAGGATGTCGCCCCTTTTGAAGGCCATTCCTGCCTCTCGACAGGGGATCAGGCTGTCGCTGGTCGGGTCGTAGTCAAAATATGGCCGCACGTACACCTGTGATGATCAGATGATCAAATCTGTGTTCTCCTTCAGTTTTATACCTATTCATTTAAAGGAATGGTTGAAGGCAGAAATCAGCAGGACACACCAACACTCGTTACATCCTGAACTCTACTCATCGCAGAGTACTGCTGTCTTGGTTGCGAAGGCGTCTGCCAGGGAAATTAAGTGCTCCAGCTGATGCATTAGATTAAACAAGCAGCCGGTGGAAACCATAAAACAAGCGCTGAGCTCTGAGCAGTACAGCAGGATGTAATTTTGCTTTGTGTCTCGTTCCGTTCATTTTTACTCCTATTCATTCAATTTAGGGCCTTCAAACTTTTATGGGTGTGATCAGGCTGCATGATATTCTTAATAGTCTTCATCAGCTGCTACCAAAAGGCCCAATAGACAGTAGTTTCTTGCTTGTGTCTGTGTATCTGTTAGCAAAATACGTCATGAACTACTCGATGAATGTCAATGAAAGAAGCAGAAACTAATCAATGGATGTTCATTTACAGCAAATTAACATTTGGAGTCAGCCCAGTTAAAGACGGTTGACTCTAAAACACAAAGGCGTCGTTGAACCAGTCAGTTTTACAGATATTAACCTAAAGTTTGATGTCGTAGTACCTGAGCCTGACCCTCAACACATCTTCTGAATGCTAAGTTTGTGCAAGGTCTGTGTCGTACAATTTACCATTAACTACTTGCAATCAGCTTTTTAGTAAACTATCTCATGATGACAAATTTTAAAGGAGACTTTCTGGAAATAACTATTAGATGTTCGTCTACAACTGATTAGCTATTGGAGTTTACTTAAATCAAGATGGTTGCCACAGCCCTATGACACTTGAAAACACAAAATGGCTATAATTCTGTGAGAGAGGAGCTCCTTCAGCATTAGACTTGTCTCAGCTCTGCTCCACGGACAGATTCAGGAAGTCCTTTGTCCCTCAAGACATCACACTGTTCAACTCCTCCCTGTACAGGAAAAATAGAGCCACCTCAGACACTTGTGTATTTATTGTATTTATGTGTATATATATATATATATATATATATATCTATATATGTATATATATTTATATATATGACGATATATATATATATATATACTGTATGTATGTGTATGTGTGTGTGTTAATAGGATAATCATGAATGTAGTACTCCCTACCACTTTGTGCATGTGCATATTTGTCTTTTCTCAAATTTGTGTATTCTGCTTCTTTTTTGATTATTCATTAGCAATTTTTTTTCTGTATAATTAGAAAATGCTACTGGACGCCTCAAATTTCCCCCCTGGGATTAATAATCATCCATCCATCCATCAATCTTCCAGAGAATGAGCTAAATGGACTGCAATTGTAAATGGGACTGTACTTTTACAGCACTTTTCGATCTTATCTTATGAAGACACTCAAAGCTCTTTACAGAAATCTGTGCCCTCATTTATCCATTCATACTGCTCTCTACTAGATCTATACAAAGATAATTGAACAAATCATTCTAAAGAGACTAATCAGTGATTTATCACATTCATACACTGATGGGACACACATCAGAGGCTATGAGAGGTTCAGTGTCTTGCCCAGGGACACTTCAGCATGTGACGGCTGGTGGATTCGAACCTCCAACTCTTGCATTGCAGGATGACTGCTCTAACCACTCAGCCATTGGTAATGGTTGAGTCATTCATAACACTGACTGTGACATCTTGTGATACCACTAGATTGTCTTATTTTCTAAGCTTAACAATAACTCTTTGAACTTCCTAATTTCTCAACATAAAATAATCCTCGTCTACAGTTTAGGTATGAAAGACGTCGCGTGATGGCCTTTAATTGTTCTGATGTTTTTTCTCCCAGTAGGTACGACTTAAAAATAAATTGGGGAACTTCATGAGGGGAAAAAGAGTTTCACAGCCTACTGCACTCCCCAAGTAACTACAGGAAGCATGTGTGTGCATGAAACAGAACCGTTCTGACCTACATGGGCTGTGGAGTGTTATTAATAGGACTCCCATGGTCCACATTCATACACAGAGGATTGTGGGAATGCTGGATTACCACCACTCAAACATCTGCCACTCGCAAGACCTAAACTGTTGACTTGTTTTCATCTGTTCACCTGCGGGGGTGCAGGAGCCTCTCTGTAGCTCGGGAGGATTTTCAGTGTGATCCCCCCGCTGCAGTCTTTGAGCATCTCCTGCAGCTCAGTGGGATTGTTGCCGACGTCCTTCCCGTTCACCTCTTTGATGATGTCTCCCACGTGGAGCAAACCCTGCCTGTCGATCATGCCCCCGTGGAGGATCCGAGCGATGACCAGGTCGTCTTTCTCCACTCGAAACGTCACGCCCTGAGGAGCAGCAGCAGCGCGGGAGTTGAATGTTTAAGAAAAGTCAGACGCTCACACTTTCAATTATTAATGGCCGGTCCTGTACTCCACACACAACTTCAGTCAGCATTTGCCCCCCGCTCACCAGTGGCTCGCCGGCCTTCTTTCGGATTCCGATCATGCGCACGGCATCGGCCTGCATGAGCGCATTGTTCACTGCTGCATCGTTGCTCGCCTCTGCTGGGGGAGGGATTTCATAACACTTTGATGCCACCATGTCGTGAGCCTCTAAAAGAGACTGAGGGAAAGAAAAGAGCTGAGAAAGAGGAAGAACTAAAGCCTTGAAGCTTGCCAAGAAGAAGAAGAACATTCCTCCTTTATGAAGAAGCAAAAATCTGCTTTTACTCCCTCATGCTGATTCATTCAGGAATTTTTATATTTAGAGCTTTTTCACAATAAAAGCGTATTGGAGATTACCGTATAGAGCAAAGTACAGTGTGTTAGCACAGGATGACACCTCCACAAACATTTAACACACTGTAGATTAAATTTCTCTGGAACAATCTGCCCATCAACATTCGACAGGCCGCTTCAGTCTATGCTTTTAAATCTCTCCTGAAAACGCATCTGTCTCACTGACATTTAACACAAGGTGATCTGATTTACATTGAGTTTTTCTTTGATTCTGACTGTGTTTCTGCTTTTTGTTTTATTTCTATTTAACACACAGTCATCTGATACGATTTAGTATTTCATTCTTTCTGTGTTTCTGCTTTTTTATTATTATTCCTTGACATTTGACACAAAGTGATCTGATTTAGTATTTCATTGTTTTTAATTATGTTTTTTGTTTTTATATTTTTATTCCATGTGCTGTAAATATATCTCGTTACTTTTTATTTGATGCTGTGATCTTTTTGTTAAGCATTTTGGTAACAGTTTCTGTTTTAAATGTGCTCTATAAATAAATCTGACTTGACTAGTTATGAGTAATTGTACTTAACATTTAATTATCCTGAGGTGAAAAAGCACTTAAAAAATAACAAAATACATAACCTAATGGATCTAAGAAGTTGGATTATTGTCTCAATCTCATCCCGTTACTTTATCCAGCCAACCGTTTTTATCCAGACTTGATATTACAGCTACTTCGTTTTTAAAATAGCTCACAGAAAATAAACAAGTTGGGAAACACATGCTCAATGATGTAATATCTGTTTCCCTTTTCTATCTGGCTGGCCTTTCCCTTCCTCCCACCATGTCTGTGTTGCTCAGTAGGTCAGCCAGGTCTTATCTTACAGCCAACAGCCCTAAGGGCTCTGATTGGTGCAGAGGCTGCCTTGGGCTCAGGATACCGACTCTGATAGGTCTGATGGGTGTAAAGCTCCTGGTAGGACCAGAGATGGAGGTTAGTGCTCTTCTAATGCACGAGAACGGATTTTAAAAACATTAAATGTGTGCTACAGTTACTAACTGTAGTCAGAAAAAAAAAACAAGTGAGCTCAGTTTAACATCCTACATAAAGCAAACCATTCAAAGAACATTGTATTTCATGCAGCATAAATCTTTGGCACTCAGATCAATCCAGTTCAGAGGAAGCCGTCTCACCTGGAAGTGCGGCTCCTGGAGGATCCTGGACAGTTCGGCTGCGCTGTCATCTTTCACCATGAGGTTTTTGATGTCGCCCAGAATCTCTGTCACCAGCTCCACGTTGTTGTCCTGCACAGCTTCCAGCTTCACCTCCTCCTGCTGCTCATGAGCCTGGAAGAGACGAAGAAGCTCAGGGAGGGCAGGTTTGAAGGTGTAAAGACCAAATGAATGCTAGTGATTGAACAAGCCACTGTCTCGTGTCGCAGTGAGAAAAAGGAATCTCATTTCTACAATTTTCAGGCCTGCAGGGAACATTTGTAAGGTAGAAAAAGACAATAAGCTGTGTGGCAGAAGCCCCTGGATAAATTTACAGTGGCATGAACTCCTCTCCACATCTGCACGTGCTTATTGAAGCCTTACTATGACTAAACACCTCAGCACCTGCCTGCAGGTTCTGTTCACCCTGAGCTACATGTGTGTGCAACCTCAGCATGGGAAGCGTACAATGGGACTTTCCATGATCCCACGCAGGAAAAGCAGGTCGATGTCTTTGACGCCTGTGGAGGTTGGCTGCTCCCCGGTATTCTCCAACACCTGCTGCATGCCTGCAAACAGACAGACAAGGAACGTCATCCAAGTTAATTCTTTTATGTATGGACTGAACACTATAGGCCTCTCAAATTCTGTGACTATTTTCTTCTAAAAAGTCAAGTTTTATCAATTTTCTTTGAACATGTATACCATATTTTTTGCCCTAAGTTGCAGGTTTTTGCATTATTTGTATGCCCTGCAACTTATACACAGACGTGACGTATTTATGGATTTTTTCATATTTATAAACCAATTTCTGGCTGACATATGATCGTTTTCATTCATTCTGACTGAAAATATTGAACACTAACATTTTCAGCTGCTAGATGGCACTCGAGTAGTATTCATTCAAGCTTTATTTAGACAGATAAGTGCCTTAGAAGACTCATTTACAAGTGAGATCTGTTTAGACAGACAAAAAGGGATGAAAGTAGATACATGTAGAAATAGGAGGCGAAAAAATTCCTATAAGACTCTTTCTTCTTGGCTGAGAAGAAAAACTCTAATATTAAGAAACACCTCGCACAAACAAGCACATAGTGACGTAGACATTCTGCAGAGGGGACGACGCGAGCGGTGAGCATGATCATAGATGCTCTTGAGGACACTGTAAGAGTTCTGATAAGGATGGAATAATCAGCCAGTTTCCTCCGGTGAGATCGAGGGATGACGAGGAATGGCCAAGGACAACACCTGGGGAATCCAAGAATCCTGAGTATGGCATGCTGTTGTATCATGTAATAGATTAAAGTGGCTGTTAATTAAACAAGCAGCTTGCCATAGACTGACACTTTCATCTGTTTGGAGCAACCGTCAAATCGGCTGCATTTCGCTGCGCTGCTCCGGCAAAATGCAGCTGATTTGACCATAAAAGTGAATTTATTAAGGAAAAGTTCAACTGAGACACACCTTTGCCATAAAGTCAAGCAAACAAATAATTGTTTTAGGTGGTTATCTTGTTACATTTCCAAGAAATGGACAGCGAGTTGCCCTCTGTGTGTTCAAGTTTCCGCGTATCGACTTTTGAAATGCAGCTGATTTGACCGTCAAAGTGCATTTATTAAGGAAAAGTTAGACTGAGACACACCTTTACTATAATTTTGAGCAAACAAATAATTGTTTTTAAGCATTAATCTGGTTCAATTCTTGTTAAAGTCATCCCGTGCATGCTACCATGGCTGCCATTTGGCAGCCAATCGATTTGTGGCACAACACCGGCCCACGTTTCCAGGTTGTCAGTGGTGACACGTAATAGATGTGACGTATTTATGTTTTTTTCCACTTTATTAAACATATTTGGACTGATGCGACTCATAGGGCGGTGTGACATGTACGGCAGAAAATAGGCTAGTTCTGGGTACTCAACAATGCCAGACACCAAAAATTTTACTTTCAGCTGTGAACTTCAGAACAATTGCACAAAATCCTACTAAATGTTTCAGCAAGTTGAAGCTTAACTGCAAGATTTAAGGGAATTCAATTCAATTCAGTTTGTTTATATAGTGCCAAGTCACAACACAAGTCATCTCAGGGCACTGTACAGAAATCAGTGAGAAAAATAAACCCCAGCAGTGTAAAATATGTTATCCTGTTAAGACGAACAGATAGAAGGAGAGGTGTGGACTGCTGGTATGTGCCAACCAGTGCTGTAATGCCAGGGTCTCAAAGCCAATGTAAGCCCATTTAAGGCACTTAAAGCCCTTGGAACGTGCGTGAGTGTTTTAAAGCATGTGTCAGTGTGTCATTTTATACTTATGTTGATAATAAGTATACTCAGAGCCTGCATTATAATACAGTTAACTCACCATTATTATGCTGAAGTTTGCTCTACTAACCCACTTTTACCCTTTTAACCCTGACTCGTGCTTTGTGTCATCAAACCACACTCTCTACTTCAATGTCCTCTTTAGAACAATGTGCTAAATTATTCCCCTGGAAACATGAATTATGATATACTGATGTGGCTTATATAATGTTTGCACATCTAAAGCATTTACTCATGTTTCTTTACACGCTAAACCTACATTCAAATTACTTTTAATGCTAGTGAAAATAGTTACACGTTACATTTGTGTTTGACTTTCTTTTGATAATTGTAAATCCTTTCCACTGTTGCCACTGTGCTTGCTCAGGATGGGAGACTGCAACAAAGCCAAGATTCAACTTGTCTGCTGGATTCCTTAGATAGAGAACTTTACTAATTGGCTTTTATGTATGTGAATGTTTCTGTAAAGTGCCCTGAGACAACTTTGTTGTGATTTGACGCTATATAAATAAACTGAATTGAATTGAATTAAAGAATTGTGGAGAAAATGTGATTTTTCTGACTTTATTGTCCAGTTTTTGTCAATATCTGGTCACTTCATAACAACATTCGGTACTGTAGAGTCTGTGCTTTTATGTATTTTTGTGAAAGCCGATGTATTTTTTTGCTTTGCAAAAGAAAAATACAAGCAAAACAAACCTTAAACATTTATGAAGAACATATAGTGGAGGGAAGTTTAAAAACTCCACTGACTGTTAAACTAATACATCCATAACAAATTCAACATTTACTGCATGACTGCACAGGAGTGCTAATCTAACTCGGTTTAGATTCCCACACACTATACTGTATGTGTGACCATGAAATTTAGTTCCTGTGGGGACCACACACACACACACACACACACACACACACACACACACACACACACCTATAATTGCAGTAACTAGTATGCACACAAAGCCATAAACAAGCTCCAGCTAGACTTGGCTGAACTTACTCCCACAGGGAGTCGAGCAACAACCCTGTGCGAACTCAAGTTCTTCTTACATTTTAACATTTAGATTTCTGATAAAACTGACTTCTTTTTTCCCCAAAAGAACAGAAAAACACCAAAAGCTGGTATCCCTACACCAGAGTGTAATAGAGCAGAAGTACTTAAACACATCTGGAACCGAACATAAACACAGCCTTTTTTCCTCCTTGTGGGGTTTTCTGCTCCCTGTTCTGACCTTTATCCGCTCACTGACATTACCATGTCATCACATCCTCAGCCACAGAAATGTTTGCTCCGTCCCACACAACACGTATGCAAAACTAATCCCAAGAAAACATAAAGCTGTAAAAGACCCTCCTTCTATGGATGCATGCTCAGGCAAAAAAATCTAACAAACTTAAATCAAGTCATCTGGACGGATTTAAAAAATAAAATTGTTGAAATGTTTCGTCTTTTATTCCAAAAGACTTGGTCAATCTGAGGAGCTGCACTTTTTCCTCTACAAGTTTTGGCTATGGTGCAATAAAACTCTTTAAAAATCTTCAGTAACAAAATCAGCCGTCCTCAGTCTTTCTGCAGTTCCTCTCGCTAACCCCTTTTCTACACCTGTTCACGGGGTGTGCTGCACCTGCTTTCAAATGATGTCGGACAAATCCAACAAAAAGACCTGCCATCTTCTACTTCAGCAGCAAAAATTATTATTTTGTAGCGTATAAGACAAATATCACAGACATGCCTTGACAGATATCTCATCCTGAGAAAAAAACATTTCTGTGTTTGTTAGCGGTGTAGCTACAGAAATAAAACACCTTACTCTAAAGTAGCTACCTGCATGCTATTTAGCTACCATTAAATAGTTTTGGGGGGGGGGGGGGGGGAAAGAGTTTAAACTAGTTTTATTTGTGAAAAACAAAAACAAACTAATTTTCGTTTTAAATGACAAACTATGCTTTGAGAATATGTGAAAACCATTTAGCAAGGAAGCTAAACAGCTAGCTAAAAATAAACACTAAATGGCAATTCACTCCATATCTTTTTTTTTTTTGTGCTAGCTAGTTAGCATCTAGAAATATGGTTGACATACTGCAAACGTAACTGAAAGAGTTTAAATAAAATCATCCATCATCTTCTGCTTGTTCTGAGGTCAGGTCTCAGGGGCAGCAGCTTGAGCAGTAAAGTCCAGACATCTCTTTCCACAGCCACCTCTTCCAGCTCAGACATGCCTGAAGAACCTCCCTAGGGAGGCACCCAGGAAGCATCCTTGCTGGATTCCCAAACCACCTCAACTGGCTCCTCTCGATGTGGAGGAGCAGTGGTTCTACTCAAGAGTCTCTCCTGATAACTGAACTTCTCAGCCTGTCTCTAAGGGAGAGTCCAGCTACTCTGCAGAGGAAACTCATTTCAACCTCCTGTATCCACGATCTCATTCTCATTCTCATATCAGTTACTGTATTTATCAGTCTACCATATTTCCCAGTCTAAATCACTGATTCCCAGGTGGATTGCTCTCTTCAGGTCGAGGGTGAGGTTCTGCCTTAAGTGGAGGAGTTCCAAGTGTCTCGGGGTTTTGTTCACGAGTGAGGGAAGAATGGAGCGTGAGATTGACAGTATTGCAGACTCTGTGCCGGTCCTTTGTGGTGAAGAGGGAACTGAGGTGTAAGACATAGCTCTCTGTTTATCATTCAGTCTACGTTCCTCCCCTCACCTCTGGTCATGAACTTTGGTTAGAGCAGTCATCCTCCAATGCAAGAGTTGGAGGTTTGATTCCACCAGCAGTCACATGTTGAAGTGTTCCTGGGCAAGACACCGAACCCCTCATTGCCTCTGATGTGTGTCCCATCAGTGTATGAATGTGATAAAGCTCTACTAGATCTATACAAAGAATAATCAGAGTGCTGTATGAATGGGTTAATGAGGCACAGATTGTTGTAAAGAGCTTTGAGTGTCCTGATAAGATAGAATGGTGCTATATAAGTACAGGTCATTTAACTATGGTTTGTGTTTTAAGTAACTGTTAATATCAGTATGCTATGCTGATGCACTTTAAATTCAAAAACTGTTAATGTGAATAAACTAATTGTGCTTTTTCAAAACCAACAAAGTCCATGCTCAAAAATCCAGGTATACAAACCAACAATTTTCAATCAGGTCATCTGACTGAAATTTGTTGGACTGTATACCTGGATTATTGAGCATGGACTTTGTTGGTTTTGAACCAGTTTGACATGACTGTCAATGTTGAAGAGGGCCGGCACCGGAGGTGGGGGCGTGTCAAAGAGCCCATCTTAGCACCAACATAACTGGCTTGTTCCACTTTGGAGTAAGCTGTTTGGGGGAAGAATCAGTTTTGTGTTGTATGTTTCCTTGACTGATGAAGCCTTCTGGATGGAAGGCGAAATGTTTCAGAAAAAAAAAAAAAACTGTCCAGATGACATGACTGAAGGTTTGACCTGACTGTTTGTGCCTTATCCTTTATTGTTATTTGGTTTGATCATTCATCTAGTAAAATGAACAAAAGAAATATCAGGCCTAAAAAACTTTCTACACCAGATGACAAGTATGTAAAAGTCATGACCTGAAGACACAAAATGAAAACCAATTAAAAATACTAACAGGACCTGAGAAATACATCATCCTTTAGTTGATAACCAACTATGTCAAGTTTTAGTTAATAGCTCTTTAAAATGCAACTTCTTGTTGCTAAATTACTATTTTGTCCATCAAACTGTAGTAATTTGGTATTTTTCCATAAATTAATCTAGAAAAATAGGAATAAAATACACACGTGTGTCAGGCTGCTAGTAGTGCAGAGAAATCCAATTTCAAACGGACTCTTTACAAAGCTATCTGAAGATGAGTATATACATACATAATTATATGGCTATATGATCCAGCTCAATTGGATAAACAGCTAAAATCTTTAGACCAGTTCGAAGGCACAGCTTGTCTGAGTCATAGTTTAACATTGATTTTGAAATTTAATATATTATCCATCTACTACATTACTGTTACAAAATGCGAAGCAATTACCCTAATTACACAAAAAATATTACTGTAACCAAGCATATTTATGAAATTTTAGAGGATCAAAATGGGGACAGCCTGGGATTAGGAAGACGCTACAATAAGCTTTGGCTGACAGCTCTAAGGGAGGTAAGTGGTTAAACAAAAGAATCATGGTTGTCAGATTATTTTCATTTTATACTAATATCTGATGCTCTGCAAGAGTTACCTGACCAGTAAAACTGTTTTAAATATTGTTAATGTCCCATGAGTCTTTCCAGTTCAAGCACAATGACATAAGCATCTCTAGTCCACTTCCATTCCTCACCTCCAGAGGTTTCTGCTTCCTGAGAGGACTGCACAGCTGGGGGTCCCTCCATGCCAGGTTGTCCTGAAGGATTCCCCTCCTTCTGTGTTCCATTCTGACCGGGATCGTCCACAGTTGTGACCATTGCCGAGCTCTCCACCTTCCTCCCTGCTGCCACAAGTACACTAAGGCAAGCCACCAGTGAACCACCAGAAGCAGTTTGGCACTCCTGATCTGCTAAATTACAAACAAAGGGACCACAAGAAGGAGAAACAGAGAGAAACAAAACAACTGAGTAATGAAGGTGATTAAAAATCAGAGATTAATAAAAGATGAGGGAGTGGCAATGATGTGGATAAAGAACGATGAGGGCAAAGATTTAAAAGGTGAAAAAAGAAGCTGGTGGTTGAATAAGTTTGAAAAGACGGGCATGAAATGACACCGTAAGAAGCTGGATGCACAAATATGGACATGTATACAGCTCTAGTCAGTCCCCTCCCTCCACTATGGCTTTAAAACCTTCCCATATTCAACTCCACCTCTTTTTTTTTTTTTTTTTTTGATCCCACAGAAACACGCACACATATAATCCCTCAATCCTCTCCTGATGGGCTTACTTCAGTACCCCCTCCTCTTGCATTACCCACCATATTTAAAGACAAGTTACCTCCTTGTCTACAAGCACACAAACACACACCCATGTCAGTTAAATTAAACCATGCAAGTAACCTTACATGTACCTGAAGGGGGCCTGATCTGATATTCCTGTTCTTTTTCTCTTCATTTCTCTCATTCTGCTCAAGATTTGAGCTGTGTTGTACTTCAGAAACCCTCAGTGTGCAGATTGTGTTTCAAATGTATTCTGTCAGTGGTTCCCTCACTTCCTTAGATCCCTCTCAGTGAAGAACATCAGTTTAACGAGTTTTTAAATCCTTTATTTTGTTATTTCCCCACTTGTATTAATGTGTTCAAAACCCCTCATGTAAATAAATATAAAGAGCTGACAGGATTATGCACATTTTGAAACTGTCTCCAACCTTCCTGTGAACTTTGGGCCAGGACAGTTTTTTGAAACAGGATCCTAGCTTTAAATATTCTTCTCAAAGTGCTATTGCAACGAAGCCAAGATTCAACTTGTGTGCTGGATTCCTTAGATAAAGAACTTTGCTAATTGGCTTTTTTTATGTATGTGAATGTTCCTGTAAAGTGTCCTGAGACAACTTTGTTGTGATCTGGCGCTTTAGAAATAAAGTGAATTGAATATGTTTACATGATGAACACATTCAAATGTGTCCTGATGCATGCACATTGAAATGTGGTTTTGGAAATAAAAAGACAAAAGCAAATATCATTTTTGTAGTTAAGATTAAAGTGAAAGTTTAAATTTTCTGTATGTTCTTGGGTTCTGTGCAAGTAGCAGCGATAGCTAGCTGTAGGCTCCTCTGCTGCATCATTGACCACTTTTGACAGTAATAAATTTCTACCAAAATAATCAACATAATGTGAAAATTGATAGTAATGTAAGTTTTTTTTTTTAAACATTCTCGTGAAGTGAACTTTTGTCGGGGTTGTTTTAAGGTAGCAGCAGTGTATTCTGGTGTTTGACCTCATCCAGGCTGGCTAGCCATTAGCGCACTAACATGGTCAGAATTCAAGTTTCTCCAAAGTGAGTTTGTTCAAAGAGTTAACAACAGATAGGATGCTAATTTTTTATTGCATTTTAACAAATAAACCAACATGAAAAACAATCCTTAAAACAGCTGATGTTTTGTAAGATAATTGATACTTGGCTAATATGCTAGTTAGCAAATAATCTGAGGATAGCTTAGCAAATGCTAAGTGCCTAATGACACAGCAACTGGACTATTTAACATATTTTGACTTGTATTTAAGCATTTTGGATTATTGTGACCTGGACATCTGAGAATATATACAAATATTTAGAAATAAATGAAATACATTGACAACTTAGTCTGCTTAAGACAAATACTGTACAGCTCAGAACTAGACAGAACTTTCACCCTTAGCCAGCCTTCTTTTAATTCCTCTGGATTTGAGTCTGCCTGGCAATGGCAATTTACATTCTGAAGTGATCAAATTAAATTTTATATCATTTATGCTTTTGCTTGTAGGCCTTTAACTGTAAAATTTCAATAGCAGGAAGATGATGTTACTGTGATCAAAAACAGACTCCGCCCCCTTCTCCATCTGTCAAGCTCCTCCCACAGCAGCACAGCTGGACATGGAGCAGATCTGTAGGATTTAATCCACTCACTCCAGCCCATCATTTACCCCACCAGTAAACCCCTCCCCCACTTCAATCCACAGGAGTATAATCCGGCTATGAAATCACCAAACTACAGTAACTATACCTCTCCTTCATTCGTCATTATCTGTGGTTAACATGTCTCCATGATGCATTTCCTGGTGTGGCCTTTAGCAACACACACACACACACAAACACGTGTACCTCTACTTTCAAATGTCAGTTTCTAAACAGAAACATCCGCATGAAATGAATGACTGAAAATAAAAGTTGCGGTTTTAAAAATATAAATAAAACTGATCATCCAGCTCCAAGTCTTTAATTTTAACAAGCTAAGATCATGCTATGTTTTATTAAAACAGCTGCTTAATTATTTAGAAATTATCCACTTTGTGTGTGTAAAAGTAAAGATACACTCAAGAGTTGTCTGGAGGAAAAATAACTCTGCACGCCCCGATTTGAATATTAATATATTGAATAATATGAGATTTGAATGTTTAATTGGCATGTATGGCCCTGAGAAAAATCTGATTATTATACATTAATGTTGTTTTACAATAAACTGGCCAAAATAAAAGTATGTCCTGGATTGAGAAGTGTTGAAAAGTAGACAATGAATTACATTTCTGAAGCACTTCCAAGAAGTCTCATTATGAAACTTTGTTGACAATAGCCAAGACTAATGTTAAGCTCAATATACTCAGTCCACGTCTGCTTCAGAAGCTGCTATTCTACAAGTGAACTAACAAAACCACGTCTGCATGTAAAAACAGCTGTTCCCCAAAAGGACCCGGTGTGTCAGCTCTGAAGAAATTGTGTTTACCTGCCTGTGGATGAAGCTCAGTCCTGTTGGCTGCTCATCAGTCAACTGAAGCCCTGCAGAGACAGAACATTGAGTTTTCAGGGTTTAGTTGCATTCCTGCACACCAGTTTTCATTCTTCACACACACATACTTAAAGATTTAGGTATAAAAGTAGTTTCCCCTTCAGAAACACTCAATGAATGTTTGTCCCCTGCGGATTGTCCGTTTCATCAATCAAAGTCATCCCCTGCCTCTCGTGAGACAGAAGTCCTGCCTGCTGGCTGTGGCGGTAGTCCTGTCTGAACTGTGCACACAGTCATCCTGAGCGGCTGATTGTGCTCAGCTACTGAAGCGTGCTTGCATCATCAGCTGATGCTGCACCATCAACATCGTGAATGGCCACTATTTGTTTGAGTAATAAAGCAGAGTGCACTTCTCTCTCTCAATTTTGCTCCTCCCTTCCAGGAAAAAGAGTAAAAATCAGATTACTTGGGGAGAAAAATGACAAAAGTATTTGATAAAGCAGTCGAAATGCAAGGTTTTGCTCTCCGTTTCTAAAAGCTTAAAAAATATTCACTTTCAGACCAGAAACATTTACAACTCCATCATGGGGCGGCTGTGGCTGAGTGGTTAGAGCAGTCGTCCTCCAATGCGAGAGTTGGGGGTTCGAATCCACCAGCAGTCACATTCTGAAGTGTCCCTGGGCAAGACACTGAACCCCTCATTGCCTCTGATGTGTGTCCCATCGGCGTATGAATGTGATAAAGCTCTGATTAGTCTCTTTAGAATGATTTGTTCAATTAGCTTTGTAGAGATCTAGTATAGAGCTGTATGAATGGGTCAATGAGGCACAGATTGTTGTGTAAAGAGCTTTGAGTATCTCCATAGGATAGAAAGGTGCTATAGAGCTTTAGAGCGTGACGTTACTTGTCCGCGGCGCGGCGGCGGATGGGATAGAATTGGGCCGCATCCGCCATTTTTATTGCCCTCCATATTAACTGTCGAAAACAAGCTTTCTCCCTGACTTAAAAAAAAAAAAAATTAACGATGGTCTAAAATTGCTGCGTTATTGGATGTAATGTCCGGTCACACGACTGGAATTGTAAAAAGATCGAAAACGGACTTTTTGTATATTCTCCACCAGGAAACAACACGAGGGAACTCATGTGTAGGACGTAACAAAAAGGAGACGAGAGACGTCCTGATAACTTTCTCCAGCGTCCCAAGATATCTGCTAGTTTGTTCCAGACATTCTGGTGAGTGTCTAAATTCAGTTTGTTGGTGTTGTGCCATAAATTTGTGCCATGATTTTGTCAGGGTGTTCTCATGTTTAGTTCATGTTCATAGAAGTGGGTCAACCTGGTTTAGGTCGGGTTTATATTTTGCATGCAACTTAGTCCGAGTTTAGACAGAGTGGACATCTGTGTTATTGTGAAATAAACTGTTTAAAGTTTCTAGTGTTGTCACTTTTACTGTAGTAATACTGATGTGTGTTGTGATATGTCCTGTTCAAGACAAACCTTCAGATGAAGTGGATGAAACTCCAGGAGAGGAGCTCAGTGAGGCTGCAGATGATGGAGAGGAGGAACATGAACCAGCAAAAAGGTACAAATACAATGTGTGAATAAAAGAAGAGCAGAAATAAACCACCTGTTACAGGAGAACAGGGAGCTCAGGTCAGAGCTGAATAAAAAACAGCTGGACAAATATTTTTTATAGTATTAAATATTATACAGGACTTCATTGCTTTGCCATCTTGTCATTGTTTAACACTGTTAGGCATTTTCTGCCAGCATTAAAAAACCCTCACAATTTCAAATGGTTCTACTAACACTAATGCATCCTGTTCAGCATCTTTGCCATTTTTTTGAAGGTGTCACATAAAAATCTGTCTAATACCTGTGTCTTTCTTTTCTTTCCAAGGGATGGACGTGCATCAGACAAGCTCATGACAAAGCTGTGGCCTTCTCTCCAGATTATTACCCGGGGATGTTGTGTTATGACAGAGGCTTTGATATGAAAGACAGTGTGGGAGTCAAGGTCGAGGTTCTTTATTGGCATTCACATCGCATGTTGTACATGAGGTGGAACAAAACCGTGTACACAGGGTCCCAGTTACATCCAACAAAAGTATAAATGAATGACGTGCTGAGGCTCAAATCCCATCATTCACTAAATGGAGATGTGAACTTGATGCTAAGGATGTTGAACACACACGAGCACACCTTAGAATTCATGTGGAAAGAGTGACTGGTTGCATGAGAAACAAATACACAATGTTACACAGAAATATACCAGTTAACTATACTGGTGCTTACATGCAAGGGTAAGGAGGTGCCACTTCTTAACATTGTGTGCGTGTAAACATTTGTGTGTAAGTAAACATTTGTTCTAATGTGGTTGTAAACCTAATGCTAATGAAACCTGAACATGCTGCTACTGATGTATGTAAAATGTAGATTGGAGAAAAAATTATATTTGCTGCATTCATTGATTTGAAATATATTTACAGTTGAATAATAACATAAGTCATACAACAACAAAGTGTCTTCAGTCAGAGGCTTCTTCAAATCCGTTGTAGGACAGACCGCTACAAGAGATCCTTCCTGCCCACAGCCATAACAACTCTTTAATGAAACCAGGATGATGAGTTACAACAACATTTAATTTCCCTCTGAGATTAATAAAGTATTTTTGAATTGAATTGAAGTGGTTGTTTTTTCCTCATTTAATAAAAATTCATGTGGTAAACATTCATGAAACGTGATTCATCACTTCCTGGAACATGTAAACATGATGAAATTGATCACATATGTAGTAAATATTTGATGTATTAACATGTTTCAGGTAAGAAATAAACATGTAATGAAACAGATCCTATTTTGAAGTAAACATTTTATGTAATTAAACGTTTCTAGTAACAAACACGATGAACATTGTGTGAGGTAATACATTTCATAGAAAATTGCTACACAAAATGTTCAAATATAAGTTAACAGCATGATTTACATATTTATGTCTCCCTTGAAGCTGCAGTACAAACGTGCTCTGAGAAATATCTTTAAGAAGCTTCGTGCTTTCTGTAGATGAGCTTCACACAATTCCTGTTCTGGAGACACACGGACCACAGCCATGTCTTTCTGAGTCCACACAAGGTCACAGTGGTTTGATTATGTACCTGTGCATAGTATGGACGATGTTTCTTCAGGTGAAGTTCACTGCCTGCCTCCACGGCCTGCTGGATGCTGCATGTTCTATATTTGTAAGGAAACTTTCTCCAGGCAGCAGCGATCACACATTGAGTCCATCAGGAGATGCTCCAAGTTCAGGGATGTTGGTGTTTATGATGAAACCACATTTAACTTTTAGATTTTTCTACTGCTAGCTGTAATTTTAATGTAGGCCTTTGGAGCATCATCCTCATGATTCACACTCCATTTTGTTTGCACTGAGTAGACACAGTGTTGCTCAGCATGACCCACAGTGTTCTGGTGGCTCAGAGTCTGAGAGTGCAGAACCTGTGAACACACAATTAAAATGATGAATGAAAAGACAGAAACATCAATTATAATATATCTATATTTTAATACATATATTTATATATATAAATATATATACATATATAGATGTATGTATAGAATAAAGTAATCTAATCAAGATTTGAAGTCAACGTGTGATTGGATGAGCTCAAGTCATTAAAAATAAGGTAATTAACCATTTCAACTTGGAGCTTTGTAAATCAGTTAAAAACATACTTTAAAAATCAAGTGTTCACAATTTTTAATACAACATACAGAAGGTTGATTGATTCTAAAATAACGTACATTAATAATTTATGTAAAATTAAGGAGCCAAGAACAACGTACCTTTTGTTCAAACCACAACATATTCTCAATCCGGGGTTTTAAAAATATCCAAATCATCCACCCAGCCCTTCATAGATTGAACCAGTGCTTCCAGTAACTTGTAATTCTTTAAATTATTTGCGGTGACACACACCAGGTCTGCTGGGAATGTCAGTGGAGGTAAATATTACTCCGGGTCTCTGCTCCTTTTTTATTTTTTCAAAGGGGCGACATTTCCAATTTTACCTATTTTTTCCATGTACCATTTTTAATCATCTTGGAGAAGTTTGTTACGATATAGTCCACTTTGTTTTGAGTTGCTTTTCAGTGTTATGAAGGAGGATACAGCGGTGACACCACAGACAAACACCAGAGTTTTTTTGTTTTTTTTCTGAGGGCAGTAAACATGGCGGTCGAGACGGGAATGCCCCGCCCCCAACGCAGTGACGTATGTTCCAAAGCTCTATACAAGTACAGCCCATTTACCATTTCTCAACAGAACTTGAACTCTGACAAAAACAAACAAAAAATGGACAATTCCTTCACGAAAGTCTAGACCTTTAAAAAATATATAAACAGTAGTTTATGATGATTTGTATACTTTCAGCTACTAATGTTGTGCATTTCTTTAAAAGACTAAATTACATTTCAGATAATGATATATAAAATAGTCCAATCAAAAATAAAGACTACTTCAGCCATAAAAGCATAAATGCATGTTCCTTTCTTTCTTATCTCTCGTTTCTAAACTGACCCTGGGAAAAAAAGGACTAAAAAGACTTTTGTTAAATAAAATCAAAGTGTTCAGTGGCACTTGGCCGCTTTTTTGTATTTCCTGAACAGCCATTGAGCGATAAACACTTCAAAAGTGTCAGCCAGCAAAATGAAAAGGAAAGACTAAAAAGATGCAAAAAAACACACCGTCCAAACTCTGCTGGGCTTCATTCAGCCTCCTTCACTTCACTGCACACTGAATTCTGATCACAACATTACTGACCAAGGACCATAAGCTCCTCTTTGCAGTCAACATGCATCCTTGGAAAATTTTCCAAGAGCCAAAATATTAACAAGGTACAGAAACAGTCTCATCAGTGGTTTGTAGTTTTTTCCCATCATCCTACATGAACATACTTGGCATGCAGAAGGGGTCAAATGATTAAGCAACATGGATTACAATCATGTTCAGAAAGTTCATTGAAAGTGAAGGATATCCCTGAGAGGAA